GAAAAACTTTAATATAAGCTTAACATGACAGCAATATAAGCTTATATTAAAGTTTTTCTTCATTACCCATTTAAGCCGTCTCCAGCCATTATTGTCAACTTGATGAGATCTGTATGGATAGAACACTACCAAGTGCAGTAGCATACACCTTTTTAATGCAACTGGAAAACAGGCCTTAAACAAAGCCATATCTGAACCCTTATATTGATTGTGATACATCGATGATGCGTTCTTTGGCTTCAACTCTGGTGAAGAAAAAAAGAGATTCTGAAACCAAATCAACAACTTAGATCCCAACATTCAATTCACAATTGCAAAAGTAAGAAAATTTCTCAAAAAACTTTTTAACTTTCAACACCATAATAAAACAATCAGGATTTGACACAAAAATCCAAAGAAAAGCAACAAGTTAATTGGAAATCTTCACACTCCATAAAATAAAAACTAGGAACATTGCAGTGTAATATGCAAATAGCATTTAATATACACTTTGTAAACAATTTTAACAATGAATTACAAAGAATTTCCGAATCTCCATTCAAAAAAGAAAAACCATTCATAAGAAGTTTTCAAAATGTAATTGGCACATCCAACAAAATTAGAAATACAAGTCTTAGAGATGAAAACAACTTTCACTTTATCACTACTACAATTCTTTAAGTCAAACACATCAGGGAAGACTTAAATCAATTACGGAAATGACTCTCAAGAAGAAATACAAAATCGACAAGAATATCCTAACTGTACAAAAGCCAGGAATTAAAATAAAGACCTTTATTACTAACAATTGTCCCACTGAATATAAAAATAATGGCATCATTTACAAAACCAAAATGCAACTCTTGTAAACACTTTCATATAGGAAAAATCAGGAAAAAATGAGCATCAGACTAAAGGAGAATCTTAAAGAACCTTCCCGCATTTTTGAATGTCTAAAAGAAATCAAACATATTACCACTGAAAACAATTTGAAATTATCAGATGAGAACCAGACATCAACAAAAAATATAATGATGCACTAATGATATAGTCATCTAAACCAATGCAAAAATAAAGATTTGAAATGCTCCCCTTATCTATATTAGTATATTCTATATTTCATTTTATTAAAAAGCTAATTAATGTCACATGCAAACCATGTCCTCATGATCATGAATGTAAAGTTCTCTGAAATTCAAAATGCTTTATTATATGTAACTATCACTTTATGTTCACCTGATACTGTGAGTTGAAATATTATAATAATAAAAATCAGAATTTTCCTACTATGAAAGTTGCTGATATTGTATTTTTGAATTAATCAAACAGTATGTTCCTTACCAAATTTTAATACCTCTCTTTATTAGTTTGAGAGCTGGCGAACATTACAAAAAACAAATCATACAAAGATCCCCACCTAGCTAGGTTAATGAGAGCTGATACAATTAAAACTTTCAGAGAGTTTCTATAATATTACAAAGTTCGATATATTTTTAAATACTTCATTCTTAGAAAATTCATTATGAATTTTAAGTACAATAAAGGAAAAAAACATCATTTCAATAATACTGCTCCTGTTAACAAGGTACCTTCCTTATACAAGAGTTTGTAAGCTCACCCATCAATTAATTCCAAACATTTTCATTTCACATAAAATTCAACAATTCAGTTTCAAGTATTCATACTCTACAAACATTAAATAATTAAGTTTAAAATGATGATGTTTTTATCTGTTGGAGAATTGTGGTTCAAGCAGTAACCATAACTAAGTCACTGCAATATTTAAACACTCTATACACTAAAATGACAAAATTTACTGTAAAGGTTTTCAAAAAACTAAATCAACCAAATCTGGTAGAGAGAGCACCTTTCAAGTGTCGAGTGCATACCTGCATATCAAATTAGAAACTTTAAGAAAAAATAATCATTTTGTTTCAACTCAAAAATATTTTATAATCAACATTTTATCATTTGTAATATTTTCAGTGTAATGCAAACACACACAAAAAATAATCTCCACCCCAAAGTTCCAACTTCCATTTCAAAGCAACTCCAGGTAGTCTCACCTAAAAACAATGCATTTCTTGATTTTTATAAATGTTTTTAACCATCTCAAAGTGTGAGTTTATATTTGCTAATAAACTATTATCCGTTGAAACAGAATTATTCATGACTTGTTTTTTTTATGTGATTTCCTCCTTTTGTTAGTGGTTTCATTACTACAGCCCTTTCTTCTTACCCTTTTATGATATCACAACATGTTGCATGACTAACTACTAACAATACTCAGGTTCAAAAACAGCTATAGCCAAGATATAAATACCTTTAATGAAATTTGGTTTAACATTTCCACTGTAAGAAAGGAAGAAAAAATCATGAAAGGGTTAAAATGAAATATGTTTAAATTTTGCTTAGTTTGTTATCAATTAAATGCTTGTTTTGTGATAATCTAGATGTTAAATTTAAAAATACCGAAAGACACCCACACATATGAAGAATTAGTTACCCATAAGGACTTTGTCTCGAGCATTTTCAATATAGCTCATGGTCACAGCCTCTGCACCATCAATCGCTGCCCGGAGAGCTGCCTGGTTGATCATATTTTCTATGTCTGCCCCAGTAAATCCTGTACTACCTCTTGCCAAGACGTCAAGATCTACATCATGAGCTTTTACTATTTTGTCAAGATATAACTTAGAAATTTCTTTTCTTCCTTTTAAGTCAGGAATAGGTACTTGTATTTCAACATCAAATCTACCAGGTCTTAAAAGTGCTCTACAAAGAAACAAAAGCAGAAAAGCTTCACAAATCTAATATAAAACATTTTGGGGTAAAGCAAAGAAAATAAACCTTAGTTTAAGCTTGGTTATGTCTCATATTACCTTCCAAAAATGTGATGTAATAAGCCAATTACACGCATTTCAAACGTAAAAAATAAATACATAAGAAAAGTTTATGTATAAACATAAATAAAAGCAAAACTGGAACAAATCCGAGAACTAACATTAGATGTATATGGTTCACAATTTTTGCATTAGTTTGAATGGTGATGTTAGTGTGATGTTTTTTGATAAGTGTTCTTCAAAATCTTAGATCAGATATATGTTGTAACAATAGAAGTACATAAATGCACATTCATGAAAACACTGAAACAAGCTGACAAACTCTTTATGGCCTAATTTTGCTTGAAAATGAATGAAATTAAGCTACCAGTCAGTGAAAGTTGTCTATTGTATTTTCTGAACTTGAGCAGCCATTTCCACTAAACATTTCTATAGTATATATTTGATATATTATGCTTAAGAGAATTTTCAGCTCTTCCAGAATTTTTTATTCTGAATTAGTTAGGTTTAAAATAAACTTATAGAGTTAAAAGTTCCTATTAAATACTTAAGAACTGTGTAACATTTAAAACTATACATTGCTGGCAAACCTCTTATGCATTGGTTGAGTAGGAATCAAAAGGTTAGGATATTTATGATTTAGAGAAGAAAAAAAGCATTCTCGTTCTGCTGTTGAAAGAGACAGATACTACAGACACCAATCTAGCTGTTAATTATGAATCAGACACGAACGAATCAAAAGTACAACACTTCATCTGTTCAGAAAATTGTCCATGGCATCAACACTTACCTCTGAACCACTATAATTGAGAAGAAACCAATTAGGATGACGATAAGGATCAGTAGTTAGATACTGATGATCTGAAGGGAGTCTTACTTTCTAAGTCACTGAGACGAGTTTTCATTATAAAATGTTTTGCACAGATTACTCAATTTTTTTAACAGTTATGACAGGTATGTGATGGAAATAAACAACTGAAATCATGAAATAATCCTTACTTTCCGAGCAATATTTTGCAGTAGAGACTGTATGAAAATTTGTTAGCTCCTACACGTAGAATAGCTGCAGTTATCAAATGTAAACGTAAAACAGTGATGACAGATCTTACTGAAAATCATTGCTTGACATTTTGATATACCAAGAAACTAAATGAACTTTGTGATACTTGCTTAGGTTTAGTCTATAGAGAAAAACTTGCTAAAAGATTTTTTCAAAGGTCTTGGACATTTTCATGTGTGACTTTGCCCTGTACGAACATACAAGACCACACCTTTGGGCTTGGTAGGACTGTAACAATCTTCTTGTTATTTAGTAATTTGAATGTGCTCTAGCACTGCCAAAAAAAAAAAGAAGAAAGACTGAAACACATCATGGTGGAAATATCCTTGTTCCGTAAGCCTTAGTTGAAATAATTTTCTTATGATACTGATTTCACAACCCACAAAATGATATTACTGTAGTGGACAACATGACTGCTGGTGGTGGTAGTAGCTATGACAGTAAATGAGTTTTACTGTCTAACCTTATGTTTACCCAGTGTGTGTACACATATAGTAGTTTACAGAATAAGCTGTGACCTGAGTTATGTAAAATTCTAATGGAAAGACACGATTACTGATAAATTTTGTCTGGAATTGCATTATTTTTGTGTAGCACTGAATCAAATTTCCAGCCCCCTATACAGCAGTAAGTTAGTGGATTGCTACTACAGGTGTTGAATATTAGCCGTTACAATGAACATTTTACCACTATATCCAGGGTATAACAACATTAGATGTATGTGATTCAAAATTTTTGCCATTCTTAACCTATCCAATGCTGTAAGTATATACAGTTATTAAATATGTTATGGCTTGCATGTATGATAGTACACATGCACTGTACATTACAAACACAAAACCATATACACAGAGAATACAATTTTTCAGGAAAATGGAGTCTTTTGCTTCAATGTTACAATATTTGTGTTTAATAACACCTGCAGAAATTAGCTTAGATTACAATGAGAGAAAAAAAATAGTGTTTTGTGTTAGTTAATTAGAGTACAAAAACAATTATTTTTTAAATGAAACTGTCATAAAAGTATGATTTTTCACTGGATGAAACTAAAGCTGCTGGATTATCTACACCACACCAAGTGAAAAAAAAAAAGAAAACAGACTATAACCAGTTCTTTCACTGGTGCTGGTGAAAGGAAATGTTCAGTTGCACAGCACTGAAATATTTGAAGATTTTGTGACTTCTGATCCTGAGCATGAAAGTTGTTGCTTGAATGCATCCTAGACAGACCCATGTCACTCAATGGACAGAAGTTTGGGTGATATTTCAACATGTCAAAGATCTTAAAAGAGGTAGAAAGATGAACGAAATTCCCAACTTGCATTAAAAATCAAGAAGCTATAAGAGGTGGTGATCAAGATTAAGGAGACCTCCAAAAGCCTATGTGATGAATCTCATGAGAACACTGGAAGCCAACAGTAGACCTATGTAATATACTGTCCTTTCTACAGGAAAGGGTGTGTGAAAAGTTCCTCTGATGTATATAATTCATGCATAGTCTTAACTATTATTCTAAGCTTTGTTTAATGCAAAGTGGAGTTTATCATGAGACATTTCTATTAATGTAAATAAAAGAATGCCCTATATCTCCAGAATTTATCTTTATTGGCTTAATATATTGTTACTACAGCTTTATCAGGAGCTACTGATACCCTACAATGTTACTAATCCAAGATGCCTGAATAGTCTTAACTCTTTTTTCAAGAAATTACTGTTTGTGCATGCCTGAGATATGTAACTGTTATAAGGAATGAAAGCCTGTACAAGTTCTATATATATATAACTAGTAGGTTTCATCAAAAGAATGACTGTATATGTCACATGTCTTACAATAATCTTCATTTTCAAGTATGAGCAATTTAGTTTATCATTTATATAACTGTTTTTATTGATTTCCAGTTGTTTGCAGCTCATTTTTCAAAACTTATCATCATATATCCTGCCAGATGTTATGGACAGTTGTTTATTTTGAATTCAGTAGTTATTATTGGTTTTTTTTACTTCTGGATTCTACATTTAAATTCTAAAGTATTGGTCAGCCTCCTCTTTACTTATTTTGATTTAAATTGCTCTGAAACACTGTAGGTTACATTTTTTTGGATCTTCTTAAATTTTAAACATTTCTGTTTACAATTATTTTGTTTCTTAACTTTAGTTTTACTATTTTTCATTTTATTCCTGAATTATGCATTTATTTTTGTGTTGTTTACTTTAATTTTCTTATTCACAATTTTATATCTGATCATATCATTTTTTCTTTATGTATTCAATTTTAAACTGAATTTTGAGCATGTTAACTTTAATGGAAATTACTATAAATCCTGAATTTCTGTACTCTTATTTCAACAATTTTTAACTAAATATTTAACTATTTTAGAATTAATATTTTGTAACATCGACCAACCCTGTATGGAGTTAGAGTTGAGAAAATAACTGCTAAATATAAAGCATTTTTGAAAAAAAAAAGTTTGATATTATTCAGGAGGTTTTGGAGATCACAAATTGAATTTGACAATTTTCAGGTAAATAAAAGCATTTTTAATCTTAAGATCAAAATCCCTTTGAATTTTCGATAGTCAACATTCCTAGTGCAAAAATTTATGAGCAAATCTTTAATTAAAAATATGATTTTTTGCGTACAAAAGGCTTGTAACATTTACTGATAGTGTGAAATTTCATGAAGTTACATATACATTATCAAAAGTTATAGTATGACTAACTTCATGGTTACTTTGGTGGTTACGAATTAGGTGCAATGCACCTATGCTGTATGGAAAGAGTTTACAGGTCAATTATTTAATGTTTTAAGAAACAACTTCTACCACATTTTTAAGTTTACGAATAAGATAAAGAAAATTTTGGGGAACACCAAAGATAACATTGAGATAAAAGACAAAACTGAAATTTATAGAATGTGAATGTGGTAGTATTTGTATTGGTCAAACTAAAAGGAATTTAAGTAGAGATTACACAAAAATAAAAGGTAAGTAAGAAATAATAGAATAGAAAATTAAGCTATAGAAGAACACTACAAACAACACCACACAGAATTTCATGAAGCTAAACTACAATCGTAGCTCAACCTCATAATGTTACAGGTTTAAATATCCAAAAAACAATGGAAGAAATAAAATTTACAATGAAAAGCAAGTATTATATTGAGATGAACATCAGTTCTCTTAATTGATGTATGGTATGAATATATTGGAAATGTTGGCCAATGAATGATGTAAACTCTGAAACGTAGTACCTCATAACATACAGAAAGTATAAACTGTCTTGTAATCCTGAAACAGCAAATCACAGCTTATGCTCGAATTACTGTATGTTTCTCAAATGAAATGAAAACAACAACTTACCTATCTAAGTCATCCCTTCTGTTTGTAGCTCCTAAAACAATAACACCTTCATTCTGTCGAAACCTGTTTCAAATAAATAAATAGTTTACAACAGAAAGTAAATAACAGCTTCTACAAAAACAAGAATTATATTTAAGAGTGCCTGCTTTTGAATATATTATTATTCACTGACGAATATAATATGAATTCTATTAAAGCTAGAGACCAGCAACATTCTTACAGGAACAACATTATCATTTAGAAAATTACTCAATATTGCACTTAAAAAGCTTTTTTTTGAACAAAACTTGTGAGCAAACTTCCCCCTGAGAATTGTTTTACATGTGACTTACTGAAGTCAATTTATTTCTAAGAATGCTGATTCATGTATAGGTTCATGTTAAATGTAAATAAGAAAAATAAAATTTTTCATTCCTTCTCATTGTTTAAATGTAAGATATAATATAATCAGTATAAACCTGTTTTTTATGCTTTCAACTGACCATTTTTTTAGGAAACAAATATTTATATTTAGAGGTAGTTGCTATGGTGATAAGTAACTATTCTTTGAACAAGAAAAAAAAACAACAGAGGAATATGTAAGCTTGACGTAATCCATAACAATTTAATTCTCATTCACCGTGTTCTCAAAATATGCCTGTATATGTAAACATATAATATCAATAAATAATGTTCTCACTGAACATCTAAGCTCATTAGAAAGTATAATTGAATAAGATGAGCTTGGGTCTCGTTTAAAAATCACTTGAATAAGATGAAGGCAGAGTTCAGTGATTCACAAAAAACCAATTTCACTGCCCCAACTCTTCTTTACAAGCAATGCTTCAGTGCCACAATCCTCAAAGTTGTGTAAAGATAATAACAAAACTGAATATCTGTATTTGCCATGTTAACTTCATTGTTTCTTTGTTTTAGTCAATAAAGCTGATTTCCTATCTTGTAAGCAAAATGCATCAGATTCAAAATCTCTAATAATTCTTTCAATGGAAGATGATTTGACAGGAGTTGAATGTATGCTCTTCTCTAGTATGTTTATTTTTACTTCAGAGAAAACTGTGGTGTGAATGAGGAAATGTAACCGCAAGTAATCTAACTAAACAAAAAGGAGGAAAAATAGTTTCTTATGGTATTCAACCACTGATGAAAGTAATTTAGCTTTGCAATGTGCATTCACTGATTTTCCGGGACAGTAAATAATTTAGAAGGTTCACTTTACATGTTCTAATTAGTAGTTTTTAAAATTACTAAAAATAATAGGCTTATATGGTCCATTTTAGAAAATGTATGTGATTGTTTAAATGCTATAATTGTTATATTTTACCCACAATTCAGTTTTTATTTTCTTCAAAAGTTTGACCATTCTCCATGTTTTATTCTGAAAATGTCGTCGTATCACATTTCACAGAATAACTGCTCATTAATTAATCCAGCGAAGACCTGCTACTTCCCAGTGCTTTGTAAATATAACAAATGGTATACATTCTGAGTAAAACCACTGCACATACCAGCTTGCCAAATTCTAAATTCTGAACCTGCATGCTTTACGAGCTTAATAATTCACAAACAGATGTAAAAGACATCAAATTTAAGTAAATACTGTATCATTTACCAGCTGAACTTTAAATATTCTAGTTCTACATAGAAAGTAAAAAATAAAACATCAAATATTTTATATGATTTTTACCAGTGAGAAGTTACTATTTAATTCCAAACAATTAAACTAATACATCTAAAATCCCCTACATTCTCTATGCTCAGTGCAAGATGCCATACCCAAATCAGTTTCATATATATTTTTTTTCTTACTGTTAGGTAACAGTTCAAACATATTTAGGCAATAAGAATGGCTAAAATGACTAAGGTGAACAATAAAATAAAAATATGGACATAACAGTTTCCCAGCTTATTAAAAGTTTTAAAGATTATAAACATTTAAAACGAAATTTTCAAATTTATATATATACATATTTCTACATAAAAATGCACAGATATAATTTCCTTATTTGAATAAGATTGGTTGGTTGGTTGATTGCCATTTTATGGAGCAAAGCAATGGGGCTATCTGTGACAAACAATTGGTAAAAAATTTCAAAGGTAAAAGATTATAAAATGTAAAAAGAAATCATGCTAAAAACTAAACAAAGTTTGAAAATGAGGTAAAAAC